CAGGATGATCCGGCGAAGCTTCGCTGGGGGCGGCGACTCAAATGTACCCCCGCCTGCTTAGGCTCACTTGCTTCCTTCAGAACGACAACACTGTAGTGACGGGATGAATAATTATGCAGGGTTCGCATCTCTCCAAGGTAAGTTTCCTTCTTCTCCGTCTCGGCGATCTTCACAACTTGTCCAGCGAAGAACCTTCCCAGGGGCATCCCTCCTGAGTGTCGTTTTGGCTCCTCTGGTGTGGCAGCAGTGCTACTCCTCGACCCAGTATTCTCTGACCGCTGCAGCTGCCGAACCAAGCTCAACGGCTTCCCTCCTGCTGGCGGCATAGGCAAATTTTCCTCCGGCGTGCTGTCCCACAACATCGACAAAATAGGCGATGATGCAAGCTCGAGGACATCCTCCCCACTTTCCGGCGACAGCCCAGCGACAGTTCCCTGCTTGAAGTTATGCTTCGCCTCAGGCTTCTCAGACTCGCTTTGGGACACTGTCGTCTGCGCTCTGTCCCCTAGCTTGGCGTCAGCAGCCTCCGAACGCTCCGGTGTTTGCCCACCTGCCTCCTTCATTGCCTCGCCTAGCTTCGGCTCTACACCATCTGTTGGTGCTCTAAACACAGTGCTGGGTGGAGTTTTTTGCCTGCCCCAGCTTCTTCGACGTCTGTCTTCGTGGGCCTCGTAGGTCTCACTCTTGATCTCCTTCACCTCGTCTACGCAGTCTGGGTGACAATCACGGTAGTGTGCCTTCAAATTATCCCGGCGACTATTCTTATGGGCGCAGTGCCTGCACCAGTAGTGTACCCGCAGCCCATGTTCCGTGACTAGGTGGCGTTCCAGGCTTCTTTTGTGAAGGCTCGCCTGGCACTTAGGACACTTAGTGCGGTCCCCATCGTCTTTATCTCTGGACTTCTCCCACCTCTCTCGGTCCATGGTGAATCTGTGTAGCGCCTGCATGGGAGGAAAGCAAAGGATGCACTTTACTTCTAGAGTGTTTCTCCCTCTCTCACACTCGCACAATCATGCACGCTTAAAGGTATCTCTGTGGCATTCGTCGATGCCTGGGGGATTTCGACGCAGCGCGGTAGGCGCAGAAGGAACCTCAGGTCCCTCCGTGTCATCACGTCTGGTTGGAATACCGGGAAATGGGTTGTGTTGGTTGGGTGTGTCAGCAGCATGAGCTGGTTGTGGTGACGCTGCAATGGTGAAGGGGCTGGCGTTTGGATTTAGGGGTCGCCCCCTTCGTATGGGTGTTTCGCTTTGCCCATTAGAATAACTTCCTGACACTTGCGTTCGAGCAGGGCTTCTGTTCTCTGGTTGTCTTTGGCTTAGGGTACTTGTGCTGGTTTCTTCTGACCCATCTTCGATCCATGCCA